GGATTTGAACCTCCAGCCTTCTGGTTAGCAGTCAAGTGCCTTAGGCACTAGGCTACCAGAGTTCCTTATTATTTTACAAACCGACTAGGGGTTCCAAACAGCTAGAGTTAACATGGTTTATACAGGGAAGTGTATCCAGGTGCAAACAAACGCTTTACAAATGAACTTCTATCTGGGGAAAAGAGTGGGCTCTTAACACTGGGGCTCACTCAGTAAATGCTGCCTCATTCAAGTGGGGCTCAAAGGAACTCACTCTGTTGAGAAAAGTTTTTGCATATTCTGAGTTTTGGACGTAGGATCTGTAAGGAAACCTAGGAAATATAAAGTCATTTCAATGTCAACTATTAATGAGATTACAGTGGCTTCTTAATGCATTAATTCAGAGGGAAAATTATCATCTCATAATAGTCTATTAGAATTCAGAATTATGCACGATAAAATGTGATGGAAACTATATTTTTTTAAATGGCATTCCTGATAATATTCCTTCCTGATAATTATGCATTATGTATATTGCAAAGCACAATTACTTTTCTCTGCAGGACATAATTAACAGTCCCCGTGATTAATCAAATCTATGCAATATCACAAATGCTTGGTCATTACTTCAGCCTACATTCTGAAGGGCCTCTTTGCTGAAAATAGAATCTTATTTTAATGTTATTAGTGTTTATAAAATCCATCTGGAGTGAATGCTTTCCAATTAAGGAGCCATGCTTGCTTATGTCATAGCCATTTTACTCCCACATAGAAAGAGAAACCAGCCATGTTCCTGTAAATAGAATCCATAAACTTTATGACTACTACAGTCTCTGGATTACAGACAGGCACACCTTGTTTCATTGCACTTTGTTTTATTGCGCTTTTGACAAATTGAAAGTTTGCAATGAGTAAGTCTATTGGCACAATTTTTCCAACAGTGTGTGCTCACTTTGTCTCTGGGTCACATTTTGGTAATTCTCACAGTATTTCAAACATTTTCATAATGCTACTGCACACTTCAGAAGGAAAACAGTGTGACGTGCTTTATTGCAATATTTACTTTATTGTGGTGGTCTGGAAATAAACCAGCAATATCTACGAGGTATGCCTATATCCCAGTTGCTATTGAGTTGATGCTGCAGCCTGGGTTTGGCTCAGGTGCTGCCAATTTAGAACCTACCTCTACTTTCTATTAATATTTATGATTCAGTCTAGTTAAGTTCTTATATCAGAGTTCCCCAGGGGACGGTTATCAGTCAGGGGCATGGCTTGATCCAGAGTCTTACGTAGACAAGTCATGTTATAATGGGAGTACAAGGTTGTTGGACTCCATCTTGATTGGCTTTTGCTATTAAGCATGGTCCATAGAACTCTGCAAAAGCACACACTGACATTTGAATGAGGTGCTCTGATTACCAAGATTCCCAGGTAATGTATCTAATGAAGAAAGTAAGTAGCTTTGGCATTGGTCAAGCCTGACCTTGAGTCACATTGAAGTGAAATGAGTAAGTTAACTAACTCAACCGAAGTGTCCAGGAAAAGGAGAAAAGTTTAGACCCTTTATATTTATTTACTTCCCACCCTCCTGCTTTATTACGTTTGCAAACCCCTTTCATCCATTACATTATCATTTGCCAATGATTGTCTTGAACACTGGAGCAGACACTGGAAATACCCAGCTGAACCCAAAGTCACTCCTCGTCTCTCGGGGTTCACAACTTAGCAAAACAGAGAGACATTTGAAGACCTATCTACCAACAGCAAAAACTCAAGTCAGTTACAAAGAACTATGAGAAAAAGTCTACACTGAGCACTTGATAAATAGTTGTTGAATTTGTTGTTAAGATTGACTGATGGTAGATAACCCTCACTGACAAAGACACATGACACCACTCAGTTATAAACAGCCTTAAGTACTTTTTAAGATGATTTTTATCCTTTTTCTTTATACTTTTCTGTATTTTCCAAATTATTTTGCAATAAACATGTAGCAAAATTTTGTGATCAGAAAATTATAAATTTTATTAATTGTATATATTTTGTTTGGAACAAGCCAAACGACAAACAAATAAAATCACTACTGGTGATTAAGGGACACATGTACTTTTCCAAGTGTTTCCCCCAAAAAATCAACACTACCACCTCCTCTCAACTGATACCCATTTTATTTTACTCTCCTAAGTCCTTAGGAGATATACCATACCAGTATCAGATTACCCAAGAAACAAGGTAAGCACGGGCTTACTTGTGCTTACGTACTAATCTGCAGTGAACAATTTCACATTTTTTCACCACATCAAACATTCTGCTTCTAAGTATAGCTGGAATTTGTCTCTCTCCCAACACCACAGAACCTTGGTACAGAATCAAAGCCTGTTGTCAAATTTATAACCCCTGACAGGGACGGAGTACCCAGAAAGCAAGGTAAGCATGGGCTTACTTGTATTTACTAATCTGTAGTGAACAACTTCACATGGGTTTCACCACAGATTAGTACATAAGCCCACGCTTTGTTGAAACCCACATGAAACTGTTGACTACAGACTACTAAATAAGCACAAGTAAACCTGTGCTTACCTTGTTTCTTGAGTAATCTGCCCCTGACCACACCCCAAAGCTTAAAAAAGTAAATACCTCATCCTTGCTAAGTAACAGTTCTTTGAAACATGTCCAGCAGACAAGGCCTACCAAATTCTAAAACAAGAAACTGAACCTATATTAATTTGAAGATGAAAACCAGAATTATCCCGATCTTACACTGAAAGTCTCAGCGTTTCCAACTATGCCTAAATGGACTCCCGAGTAGAAAAGAGTTCCCCTTCCTCAATCCCTTCTGTCTCCCAGAAGCTGTTATGCCTGGTTTCTTTCCATTTTTCTGCCTAAGAATCATCTCATAGGAGGGAAGCAAAGAGTAATACAGCAGAAAGAGCTCAGGGGAGAGGACTTACATCTTTCAAGGGAACCAGTTTCATGGCGGTTTGATAGGAAGGAGTGAGAGTGGCTGGGTAGTTGTAGTCAACAATGTCATGTTTATAATCAGCCTTGTAGGCAACCTGAAACACAGAAAAGACAAGAAAAAATAAATGATCCCCCACACTTGCTTTTGACTTTGTCTGAATGTGTTAAGAAATAGTTTGAAACTAACCAGAAACAAAATTAATTCTGTTTCATCACCTCTAAGGAAAATTAAATTATGTTCACACTTTGCCTTCAATTAATTTGAATTCTTCTCCTTATTAATCCAAGATTAGTTGACTTCCATTTGTAGCACACTTATTTTTTCTTTCTTATTATGGAACTCCTTACAGTTTTTGTCAAAAAGAAGCATTTGCACACAGGTATACAAGCAAGAGTTTATTGACTAACACCCAAGAAAATAAATGAAATGTTGAGAGTCTCCAAAGTCTTTAATTTTTTTTAAAAAAAGGTCAAATTTAAGATTCTCAAGCAGAGGAAATTTGTTATTTCTATGTTTTAATAACGAAGTTATTTCATTTAAGCATTCTTTACCTCTGCGAATTGCAACCTTGCATTTGTAAACCTACAAACTGGACTGACAAACTCAAAAAGAGATTAACACAGATGATACACTATGGAGAACACAGGAACTTGATTTGTTTTCACCACTATCTTGACCAGTCCCTAACCACATAGGTCTTCATTGAATACTATGATGGAATAAATGAACGAATGAACCAATCAACCAACTCCAAATAAATTTAAAAAGCTTTGGACACTTTAGGAATTTCAAATAAGAACCATGTTTATCCATTCCTCCTTTTCTCTCAGGAATGGAAACTTAAAGATCTAAGTACTCTTCAAAGAAACATCAAAAGATACCCTTGGCCCTATTGTTTTACATTTGGAAACTCTCTTGAGTCAGTCTTTACATGGTAGAACACTGATTTTTTAAAAGGGAGGTATTGAAAAAGAAATGGCTGAATCTATCACGCCCCCCCTCCTACACCTCAACAGGTCCCAGTCCCCAAGGATTTTTGCATAAAATGACTCACATTGCTTGCCAGACTTCCAACTTTCATAGCATGGAGAGTCCGTCTGTCCATACCAACTCCTTCATAGTGGCCTCTCATGTGGTTCTGGTAGTTTTCTTTATATTTATTCTACATGGAAACACAAAACTTTCAACAAAAGCATCCTCTCCCCAATGAGTTGTAGGTAAACTGTTCTTCTTAATGTGCAAAATCCAAAATATAAATGATTAAATAAAGTCTATTGAAGTAGCCAGCATATCTCTGCATTAAAAATATACATGGCAAACCTTTTAAGAAAACTTAAATTTCAAGGGAGCATAAGGTGTTAGAGGGAGACAGGTAGGCAAGCACACGAGAAAAACAGTGCGTCTGAAGGGCATAAACAGAACAAAACGAGCTTGATTGCTTCCCCATTTTCATCTGTAAATACATCAGACTTTTCCAGTGTGGGCTCATCCACAAGCCAAGGGAACAAGGAACGCCTGGGACTACTGACAAGGAAGGACTCCACATGGCCGAGACCCTGATTTGAACTTTTAACCTCCAGAACTTCGAGAAAACAAATTTCTGTTTGTTAAAGGCACCCTTTTGTAGTATGTGTGTTATAGCAGCAGTAGGAAACCAAGACATGACCTAAGGGGAGAGTAGTCTAATGAAACTACATTGAAATCGCCTACCCGGGAAGGCCACGGAGAACACTGAAACAGAACACTATTGTTACTGTACATCAGACACTATTCTACTGATCTCCACTAATCTTCATGAGCCCTCTAACAGGAGAAACTACTATGAGCCCTATTATACATGACACAACAGGGGGCAATGTGGCTCTGACAGCTTACACAACTTGTCCAAACTCAGCCACTTGGCTAACTGTGGAACCAAGCCTGCCTGCTCCAAAACAGTTGCTCTGAACCACTATGCTTGTCCAAAGTAAATTCCTCACTGAGCTTTATGAACTCCTTTGCAATTTTAAATTCTATCTTCATATGCAGCTGAGCAAAAGTAAAATCACATGATCTAGTACAGGATCCATCCCCAGACCTTCTCTGAGAGCTCTCAAATTTGCAGATGCCATTGTAGCATGTAACTGCTCACATATAAGATGAGGAAATAATGCCCAGCTCCCCAGTAGTGTGGGGATTAAATGAGATGGCACTATTAATTAAGAAGCACAAAGCCACATTGAGAGGAATGCTGTATTCAGCCAGGTTTACTCGCCAGTATGCCATACTGGGAGCATTGTACTGCACACAGAGATGCAGGCATACAGGGATGAAGAGAGGCAGGGATACAGAGATGCAAGGATGCAGAGATGCAGGGATGCAGTGATAAAGATATGGAGGGATGCAGGAATGCAGCAGGATAGGTCCTGCCCTGAGGACTCATGGTCAAGTGTGCAGGGGGAGGAGCTGGGAGATGAGACAGAATTTAACACTCTGCAGACCAGCCCAAAAGTATTAATCAAAACTCATAGGTGTCTGTATCTGTGAGGCCATCCTTCTCTGAGATGCACAGGTCCATTCACATAGACTGTCTCTTAGGAGACCTAGCAGTTAAGCTCACAAAATGCTCGAATAAACGGTTAGGTGGAACCACTCACGTCACTGGTGAATTTTGAGATCTTGCTCACGTTCCTGAATTGAGGCGTTTCACAGTAGTTTATGCTGTGACCTTTACTACTTTCCAGATCCTTCTTATACTCCACCTTGGAAACCAAAACACAAGACGCACAATAGAACCAAACCCGAAGTCACTGTTGAACAGAGCTCCAGGACATGACTAAGACATTTTTAGAAAACTTTCAACTTGAGATTTTAGAATGCCAGGTAGAGGATACTGCAGGTGACAGTACATGTTTTCCTTTGTAAAGATAAATAATAAAAAATCGGGTTGGTCCTGAAAATTAAAATTCTGTGATCCCTTTCAAGAGTAAAGAGGAGCTCTGGTGGCACAGCAATTTTGGCATTGGGCTGCTAACCAAAAGGTTGGTGGTTCGAATCCACCAGCTGCTCCACAGGAGAAAGATGAGGCAGTCTGCTTCCATGAAGATTTACAACCTTGGAAACCCTATGGGGCAGTTCTGCTCTGTCCTATAGGATCACTATGAGTCAGAATCAACCCATGGTGGTGGTTTTATAAATCAGGATGGTGATTACTCTTGGGGGGAAGTGGCTGACAAAGGTACAAGGTGTGTGTGGAGCTTGATCTTGCTCTATGCTCGATTCACCTGTGACAATTCATCCAATAGTACATGTATGACATATGCAGTTCTCTGTATATAGGCACATTTCAATGAAATGTAACATAAAAAACTCCTTGACATGAAGTCAACTCTGACTCCTGGAAACTCAGTGTGTATCAGGGTAGAACTGTGCTCTGTAAGGTTTCCAACAGCTAATTGTTCTAAAGCAGATCACCAGGTCCTTTCTTGGCAGGCACCTCTTCGTAGACTCAAACGTCTAACCTTTTGGTTAATGCAGCAGAGCCAAACCATTTGCACCACTCAGGGGCTCCATTTGCACCATAACAACAGAACAAACAAATCCACTGCCATTGAGTCAATTCTGACTCATAGCGACTGTCTCAGGGTTTCCAAGGCTGAAATCTTGACGAAAGCAGACTGCCACATCTTTCTGTCATGGCTGGTGGGTTTGAATCGCTGACCTTTCAGTTCGTAGCTGAGCGCTTTAACCGCTGTGCCACCAGGGCTCTGATTTGCACCATAAGTCCCCATAATCTGATAACCTTTTGTATCCTCTTACACTCTCTGCATTACACTTAGGATCACAGGCCTTAAAGGAGTATAAAAATGAGACCGCTCACATATGCAGAGTGTGTGTGTTCTAATTTAAAATGATTCGTCTCCTCAAGCTCCCCTGGGTAGCAGGATGAAGATGTGAAGCTATAGTTATTAAATAGACTCCAAGTCATCACAGGTAATTGGAGAAGGCAACTGAAGGCCAATTACCATTAATGGAGGTATAACTCATTTGTCTTCCTCAGTGAGCATAAGGGCCGAGAGAAATTGAAGACTCCCTTATGACCTCTTACCAAAAGAAATACAACTTAATTTGTTATCATATCTTATAAAATATATGTGAGGGTATTCCTTTTAAAATATGCCAAATTTATTATATGCTCATAATATGCTATAAAATGAAAGCAATACACAAAACTGTATCTACCAGTTGAATTGTAATTCTGTAGTATGTTTTTATACTCATATTCATATTATGTTCACATATAAAAAAGCTACAATGTTAACATCGGTTAACAGTTAATATTTCTGGGAGAGGATGTCACTATCAGTGCTCTGATCCCAGCTCTGTCCTTGAAAGTCTCTATGAACCAGAACAAGACATTTCACTTTTCCAGGCTTCTGACAGGCTGAGGGCCTAAAGATCAGAGTAGACCCGTGCAGCTAGCTCTAACATTCTGTGAGTCTAGAGGAAGGGTCACCAATTTTTTCCTCTAAATGGCCAGATAGTTAATATTTTTGACTTTGTGAGCTCACAT